AATCCCGTGATTAAAACATCGTAAATGACAATCCATGCCATCCATGTACGATGAAACATCGGACAACCTCATCAACTCAGTCGGATCTTACAACCAGTGTGGCTATTAGCGGCCTTCTGAGCCGGATTCCTGGGACAATATGTTCTCCTCTGCCCTGGGACTAATCCAAGATAGAAAGTGTGTATTATTCAAAACGGTAGAATATATTCCGCATGGCCATCGAGGCAATTTTCATGGTAATCAATAAATCCCAGATTGCCTTAAGCAGGTATACAGGCAGCCATTGATTGCACAGATACTTCCAAGTTTACACTTGTCAACTGGCACGAAGTGATTTGATGACATCACAAAATAATTGGTAATATTTTCCTCACAATATGTATTACAATACTGACTTATGGAGTAAAATCATGTTGGAAGTTAAAAATGCGGTTTGTCGTAAGATACGCCTAACAGGATCGGGTGGTTAGGCACGCTGACTGTCATTGTATCCAAATGGTGTAGATTGATGATGATGCTGTTGATCACTGGATTGTCTGGTCCCGACTCGAATATGTACAGACCACTGCCACATAGTTGGAATATTGCTGAGTGCGGCGTAAAACTAAACTCCATCACTCTAATTCCAAAATGGATAGGAACAATATTTTGTGCACTGGCTCAGCATTCATCTAATGAAGGAGCAGAATTAGCTCTGGAACGTTGTGATAAAACAGACAAAGAACCTGTTATCCATAAAACTCCTAATAACTTTGAGATTATATGTAATTATAATCTTGATCACATCTAATTATAATCAACAGCATAACATGTACTCACGTTCATCCAACTTCAAAATGCCTTTCAAGAACAACATTTTGTTTCCTAATAACTTTGAGATTATATGTAATTAATATTGCCAGCATTACATAAAACGACAAATACACATGGTAATGTCAAAACATCAATGTACCTACTTTGAAATCTACTTAATTCTCTCTTAATATATCTCAGCACTAAGATTTTTGCACTTCCTATTCCTTAACTTACACAACCCTTTGTGAACCTGGGCCAAGATAATTATAGATAATTATACAATGATCTGATAAGAAAGACTGAAGTGCACTATATAGCATATAATTTCATCTCGTATCTCAGTACAACATTGCAACATAAGTCAGTTACTAGGAGGGGTCAACATGTTATTTAAATATTTCACTCTTTCTGATTCCCCTCAATTTCTGAATTTTAATTCAATTAAAATTTTAAATTAAAATTAAATATGTAATAAGTTATCATCATATTAAGATTCCATCCAAAAGAACTGTTTGACAATGAGTGAGTGAGTGAGTGAGTGAGTGAGTGAGTGAGTGAGTGAGTGAGTGAGTGAGTGAGTGAGTGAGTGAGTGAGTTTAGTTTTACGCCGCTCTCAGCCATATTCCACCTATATAGCAGCGGTCTGTAAATAATCGAGTCTGGATCAGACAATGACAATGAATAAGAGTTTAAAAATTTACTCAACCTATAACCCAGTACTTCATTCAAATATTAATAATATTTTTGACATTAGATGAATACATGTTCATTTAAAAGAAACAATATCATGTAAAGATCCGGGTTAAAATTGGGCTTCAGCAATCCATGTCTGTCGTAAGAGGCGACTAACGGGATCGGGTGGTCAGGCTCGCTGACTTGGTTGACACATGTGATATTATCCCAATTGTGTAGATCGATGTTCATGCTGCTGATCACTGGATTGTCTGGTCCAGAGTCCATTATTTCCAGACCGCCACCATACAGCTGGAATATTGCTTAGTGCAGCGTTGAATCCAAGACAGCTTGAAAAATATCGCAACCTATTATCCAGTAATTATACATTAAAATTAATTATTAATACATTATTATTAATTATATTTTTTACATTTGATAAACGTATGTTTACATAAACATATCAAATAAACATGTGTCCAATTTACTGTTAGCTCTTTCTACACTACTGTATGGCAAGCTGGTCCAGTCTTTAAGCCCAACAAGAAAAGCAAATTATCTCCCCTTGACCATAACCCTCCCCAGTATCGGCAATGGAAAATCTAGCAGTATCAGACCTGTCTCTGTCCCCTCTTTCTGAAACAATATTTATTTATTTATTATTCATTTTTCAAATATTCTTAAATAACTAATTATTTCTACCTGAAATTCGCCTTCATCAAGTAACTTGAAAATATATTTAAACTGTATAACTGATCTGTAACATTCATAATCTTCATGGACATTTGTGATTTTTGTATTTCGTCGTGTAATTGTTTTAGGCTTTCAGGAGTAGAAGTGACTACATTTTATTTAAATTCATGTTATACATTGACTCCTGATGACATTTTAGTTTATTTGGAATCTGTCTCAAACACTTAGAGGCCAATGATTAGGACTTCATAGCACTACCAGTATATCGCAATACGCCTTTCAAACGATACACATTGCAATGTTTTTTTCCCAGTTTGGGTAATAAAATATGTATGAAGGTTTGTGATTATCTCTATGGTTTTAGTTAAAATCTACACAGAGAGAGAGAGAGAGAGAGAGAGAGAGAGAGAGAGAGAGAGAGAGAGAGGGAGAGAGAGGGAGAGAGAGAGAGAGAAAGAGAGAGAGAGAGAGAAAGAGAGAGAGAGAGAGATGAATATGAGCATTTTATGTTAAAATTGAAAAGTCCTTTTGCATTCTGAGGAAGGATTGTAAAATATTATGCATAGGACATCTGACTCATCACATATATGATATGACCAGTCCCTTTCAAAGATACATTTGATTACAAGGATAAAATCATTGAATTGCCAAGGTTACGTATTTCAAACAATAATATATTTCAGTGCTTAAGCCATTTTCCAGACATATGTTGCAAGAAATTGTGAATAGATAAAGGTATCGACCTTTATTTTGTATGATCATAAAAAAAATAAATCTTTATGATAGATCTATCAATCAGATAAAATTTTAACTTGAGTGAAATATTCACTGAGGTACAACAAGAATATTATTTGAATTACATCTACATTCCTTCAACAATAGACTCTATCAAGAAAAATATCAATTTTTTCAAATCAATTTGTTTTCATTGACTTAGAAACAGCTTGTATAAACTGTTTTGTAACATCTATTACAGATACTGTGAAAAAAAACCACTTAAAAACATCTGTCAAACCTTCTGTGAATGAATCACAATAAGGAAAAGCTACCAAAGTTCTATAACTCTGTCAAGGAATTTTCAGATTGTCTCCCCTTAGACCACACATTTGGTGACACTTGCTATCAACCAATGCTAACTTCAAATATGTCGGATTTCATCATTGAAAATACTTGTAAATAAAAAAATTCAGCAACCTGAACTAAAAATGCATCTCACTATATTTGCAACACACCAGTAAATGCATCCAGTATGTTTATCTTGCAAGACTGAACACGTTTCATTCATCAATATTTCAGATTTCAGCCCAGATCGATTTATTATTGTATATTAATATTATAACCTACATTATTGTACTGATAAATATTTCATGTAACTGTGTAATTCACTGCTGGTGTATGAATTACTTAAGGAAATGAAGATTTCAAAATATCCTCATGTTATCTATGCTACAGATTTTGTAAAAGCATGAAAATGTTTACTGTTAAATCATCCATGAGGAAATACTGTACCCAACATCTAGAATAAATGCTTCCTTTGTCCAAATTTAAACATTAATGACTTCAAAATAATCAGTTGTTACAAATAATGCATATTTTGAATTCTTTAAACACCAGGGCTTTTTCTAAGGTTTGGAAACTATGAGTCAGTGGCACGGAATTTGGGACAAAATATTATCAGGTTCTAAGTTAAATATATTTTTGTATACCCGAATTAATAAAATACATAACCAAATCTGAGCCAGCTAATACAGTGAGTGAGTATGGGGTTTTACGTAGCTTTTAATATATTTACAATATTCCAGCAATATCTTGGCATGGAACACCCGAAATGGGCTTCACACATTGTGGGGAATCGAACCCGGGTCTTCAGTGTGATGAGCGGACACTTTAACCATTAGGCTACCCATTGCCCCAGCTAACACAGCGATAAACAAGTTCTTTGTCGGGGGATGGGGGGGCACAGTATCAGCTACGACCAACCAAGCCTGATGGAAGGCAAGTTATAATCCCTCATCCCGATCCGTGAATGTTATTTTGTCAGTTCCTGCACTGATTGCAACCTGGCTGTTAGGTTTGGCTGCACCATCAAAATTCAGGTTGCACCATAACATGACGTCACTAGGTCTAAAACGTAATATAGATACTTGTTTACCAATTTTCACAGGTGTGCCTATGGTGACAATTGAATATATCCACTACATACAAGTGCTGTCAAGTTTTCAGGTACAGCTGAATGTATATAGAGGTAGGTTATCCGCTGACCCTTTTGTCAGAGGCTAGTAAAAATCAATATGGTCTAGGCAATAATCTGTATCAAGGGCTTAAGAGATTAATGACAGGTCAGTCATTTTTAATATTTTCCTGTAAATATCGGATTAAAACAACCACTGAAAATATCTTTTCATGCCCTATTCATCGAAAGTAAAAGACTATTTCGACATGTTTTTACAGATGCTTTCGGATCAACTTCAGTAAAATCCATAACCGAATCAGTATATCGAGAACTGTCAGAGCACAGTGCTTCATTGTTCCACCAGTCCTACATGTAAACTTTAACGCTGGTCTGCTGGCCCAAGTCTACTAGCTCTCCTCACTGGGATGACATAAATGGTAGGTCACTTTTCAGGCATGAATTATTTCCTCAACTGGAATCTAAAATCTTCTAAACTCATAACACCATCCACAACCCTCTATGGGATACTGTTCATCCTATATTAATACAATATTTCTGTTTTTTGGTCAGATATAACAAAATGTGTGTGTATGTGGTGTGTATGTGGCTCTTGACTCGGGAAACAAGGTCGTCAAGAACTGTTTGGTGCATTGGAAGCAAGACTCACCCAGCAGAGACGTGACAATGTTCCTCAGCATCCCTCCCCGTGCACGATGTTGTAACAGATCACAGAGCTGAAACATAATGTAAAACAGTTAGAATCACCTTGAAATCTCAACATTCCAGGGAGCTGGTTTAATACCACTTTCCAGAGCTAATTCTTGCTCATTCATTAGATGAATGCTCAGCCAGTGCACAAAATATTGTTCCTATCCATTTTGGAATTAGCGTGAGTGAGTTTAGTATATATGGCGGCGGCGGTCTGTAAATAATCAAATCTGGATCAGACAATCCAGTGATCAACAGCATAAGCATCAATCTACGCAATTGGGATACGATGACATGTGTCAACCAAGTCAGCGAGCCTGACCACCCGATCCCGATAGTTGCCTCTTACGACAAGCATGGTTACTGAATACCACTTTCAAACCTAATCAATGCGTGTATGTCAGCCTATACCATCCATGGAGTATTGAAACATTAGTAACCCAACATTATGAACTTATAACAGAAAGCAATTCAAACAAAAAACAACCCTAGTTCTTTGTCCCTGTCCAAACTATTCAATTCTAATTCTATTCTGCTTTGATATAATTGCGGTATATAATTCAAGGATGTTGTCTCATATTTCTACAAAATACCAAACATTTGTTGGCGTTGATAGTTCAGGTGAAGAATAATTTTCTATGCTTGTAAAAAAAAGGCAGTCGTGACAACAAAGCAAAGTTTACAGCTGATGCTAATCGCCATTTGTGTCAGACATTAAATTGTAATAAACTGTAATAAGATACAATGTCTAACATTTCTAGAGATTTACTCCGATGCACTAAATGGGGAAAATAGAACATTATCTGATGTAGGACTGTTGAACATACACATGACAAAAACAATTCAGGTAGTGCTTAAAATGTTGGCTGAGATATATATACTCTATTGTCAGCCTGAGGTTTTACTGTCAAGCTTGAGAGATCCTTCTTGAGACATTCAGTGAGACATGCATAAACCTGATACAGTACCGTTGAGACATGGAATAACACTGATATAATACTGTTGAGAGATGGAATAGCACCGATATAATACTGTTGAGAGATGGAATAGCACTGATATATTACTGTTGAGACATGGAATAACACCGATATCCTACTGTTGAGACATCGAATAACACCGATATAATACTGTTGAGAGATGGAATAGCACCGATATCCTACTGTTGAGACATGGAATAACACCGATATAATACTGTTGAGAGATGGAATAGCAACGATATAATACTGTTGAGAGATGGAATAGCACCAATATAATACTGTTGAGAGATGGAATAGCAACGATATAATACTGTTGAGAGATGGATTAACACTGATATCATACTGTTGAGACATGTATTAACACTGATATCATACTGTTGAGAGATGGAATAACACTGATAATGTACTGTTGAGACATGGAATAACACCAATATAACTGCTGAGACATGTATTAACACTGATATCATACTGTTGAGAGATGGAATAACACAAATATAATACTTCTGAAACATGGATTAACATGGATATCATACTGTTGAGACATGGAATAACACCAATAAAACTGTTGAGACATGGATTAACACAGATATCATACATTTAACACGGATATCATACTGTTGAGAGATGGAATAACACTGATATACTGCTGAGACATGGAATTACACTGATATCATACTGTTGAGAGATGGAATAACACTGATATACTGCTGAGACATGGAATAACACTGATATCATACTGCTGAGACAAGGAATAACACTGATATCATACTGTTGTGAGATGGATTAACACATATCATACTGTTGAGACATGGAATAACACTGATATCATACTGTTGAGACATGGAATAACACTTATATATAAAACTGCTCACATTTGGATCAATACCAATATGATAGTGTTGATGCCCAGATTAACACTGATGTTTAGTTTGGATCTCTTGCTGATAAACTTGGAACTATCTAACTTAGATACAATGAAACTCTTGCATAATCTGATCAACATAAGGTACAACCCTTATATTTTCAAGCTGATATTTGAGGTAAACATGATATTATCTTGCTAAAATATGAATAATCCCGGTAAGATCTAGCTAAGATATGGAACATCCTTGTAGTTATCTTGCTGAGATATGGAACAGCCCTTGTGTCAGAATGTTGCACCATGAACGCTGGTTTTATACAACAGCCACATAAGTTGAATAACCCTGACAGAATGACCAACACTTAGTATCAGTGAGTGAGTGAGTCTTGTTTTTACGTCGCTTTTAGCAATATTCAACCATTATTATAGAACAGGACACCAGAAATGGGCTTCGCACATTGTATCATGTGGGAAACCGAACCATGGTCTTCCGGTTGACAAGCGAACCGCTTTAACCACAAGACTACCCCACAGCTCTGATAGTCCATCAGCATTCTGGGACAAGATTCCCGAAGCTCTCTTACTGCTAAGATAGTCGTAAGTGCCATACATTAACATTAACTTACGACTATCTTAGCGCTAAGAGAGCTTCGAAAATATAGGCCCAGGAGTACAGCTCTGCTTTTCAAACAATACACATTGCCATTTTATTCTCATTCATGTAGAGGGGCGGTGGGGTAGCCTAGTGGTTAAAGCATTTGCCTGTCACGCTGAAGTCTCAGGTTCGATTCCCCACATGGGTACAATGTGTGAAGCCCATTTCTGATGTCCCCCGCAGTGATATTGCTGGAATATTGCTAAAAGCGGCGTAAAACCAACCTCACTCACTCATTCATGTAGACTGGGTAAAATATATGCTCAAAGCTTCATTAGTGTTTACATGTCTGAGCATAAAATCTACACAGAAATGTATTCACAAATGATGTGTCCCTTCAAAACTGATTGACAATACGGAGGAAATGAGAAATTATATTTTTTACTGAAGTTGCAGGGATGGAAATAACTTTAAAATTGTTAGTGTACTCCGGTACAGTGGCACATGTAAAATCACTTGCCCTGATAATTCTTCCACTATACCGGCCGATTTTCTTGTTGTTATTTTAAATAAACAACATAATTAACATTGGAAAGTCAACTGGACACCGGTACAGCGTGACATACAAATTTGCTAGCCCGACAGAAAAAAACACTGGACTGGGTTGCGGGCAATGGGTTATTTCCACCCCTGAGTTGTTATCTGCCTTGAACGCCTGACTAGAAAATGTTGTTTACTGACAATGTTAACTTAAACTCAATATATAATTTGGTAACTCCCAATACATCAGAAAACATGTCACAATGCACACACCTTTACATATTATACCCTTCACATACTGTACCCTATGGGAAATCGAACCCAGATCTTCTGCATGATGAGGGAACACTTTCACCACTAGGCTACCCAACCGCCCCCTGAAGGCTTTGAGGATCGGTACACAGTACTGCAATATACAATCTAACTATTATCACGTTACATAGTGTGAGTATCGGCCTGTTATAACCTATACAGTTACAATAGGTCATAATGCTACGACTGCTTTGAGGATCGGTACACAGTATTGCAATATAACGCAATACGATCTAATAGTTAATAGGACTGCACGGTATTACCGTTATATCGGTATATCGCAATACGCTTTTCAAACGCTACGTATTGCAAAATATTTTCTGAAAACCGGTATATTGGGTAAAATACATCTATGAAGTTACCAATATATCGCAATAATTCCGCTTATATGGCGCTCATATCCAGACACATTGCCTGCTCACGGTACTACGTACATTACTATCCCACCCGATCGCGTTAGTCGCGTCTTATGACAAACATGAGTTGCTGAGACCAATTCTAACCCGGATCTTCATGGTTTATAATCCAGAGTGCATATTAACATATTATTCATTGTCAGAGCGTACAGTCACACTGTGGTACATGTATGTATCTGATGCAAGAGTATTCATTGTCAGAGCGTATAGTCACACTGTGGTACATGTACGTATCTGTTGCAAGAGTATTCATTGTCAGAGCGTACAGTCACACTGTGGTACATGTACGTATCTGTTGCAAGACTCGAGAAGGATAAGATATCAACAGTTTCACACAATGCAGAAATGTCTAAATACCAAGTACGTCTAAATTTGAGAACGGACATCGAAAATAGAAGGTGCTTCATTCTGAGGAACACACAGCATTATTCTTTTTACCAGTTTTAACAAAGACATGGTCATTAAAATAATTGTCATATCTCACAGTTCAGTATGCTACACAATTTCTTTGCTTGAGGAGCCTCATATTTCTTGTTATGAGTGAGTGAGTGAGTTATTTTTACGCTGCCTTTAGCAATATTCCAGCAATATCACGGCAGGGGACACCAGAAATGTGCTTCACACATTGCACCCAAATGGGGAAACGAACCCAGGTCCTCGGAGTGCTGAGTGAACGCTTTAACCAATAGGCTACCCCACCACCCCATGGTAGGTGATGAGTGGGTGGGACTTAAGATACGTAGGTCAAGGCACAACTTCTGAAACATCCGTGAAAACAACGCAAGTTCATCTGCATTCCTAGTGACACCTGACTCTGACTTAGACGACTATAATTCTGACAAGAAAAGTCCTGATTGTCTACTGAAAGTCGTCAAAATAGAAACTTGCCATATCCATTCTATCAAGCGGGTCATCATTCAGTTCTTTGATATACACTCCCATTTTCATCATCTATCATTAAAGGAAAATTAAACTAAATGACATTAAACGAAGATCGAAGACTCAGATTTACAACATTATCTTCCACGACATCTGTGTCCCACAGTCCAATATTGAGTTCTGTGCTATGACGACATATTCCTTCAAATACAGTGTTATTCTGTCATAATTACACAGTAAAAGATATATGTGGAAACACAACGATCATTTACAATGTTACAGTACATTGGCCCACTGTTGCACGGAACAACATAATGTTTGTTTGTTTGTTGTTTAATGCTATGCTATTTTTCAGTTATGACAGAGGTGTGTAAATTATCTCATACCTAACAATCTAGTGATTGGGGTCTAGTACTGGGGATATGACGCCATGCATCAGGCACGTGCTTGAGTGTATGATGGTGAATGTCAAATGCAACAAGTTAACATGCATTAATGCAGAGGCCCAGATAAGCTGCGTATCCGGTAAAATACGCATAGAAAATTTACATTTATGCATTGAAAAGTAATTGTTGCGTACCAATTACGCATTTAAAATGTTAGATACACAAAAAGTTTAAAACAAATGCGTACGGAATATATTTATAAAAATCGCTTGTGTAATGAAAAAGACACTGATTGGTATCAAGTTGTACTGTTAGTATAGGACTAGTGTTGCACTGTCAGTATAGGATGAGTGATTTTTTATGAAATCATTTCCATTATATTTAAGTTGGTTTTGATTAGGTATGACATGAGGCAGAACATACCTGCTTAGTAAACTTACTCAATGACATAATACTTAGGTGAGTAAAATGACTTAAATATGCACATATTTGAAAGCAGTGGGTAACGGAAAATGAAATACCCACTTAACATTCATAATACCCACTCAAAAAAATACAGTGGGTACAGTACCCACATGAGCTAAATCTTATCTGGAGCTTTGCATTAATGTATATTGTATCTTGTAGTTTATAACTATGCTGTGTTGTACAACCTGGTGTATAACCATGTCATATTGTACAACCTGGTGTAAAACAATGTCATATTGTACAACCTGGTGTAAAACTATGTCATATTGTACAATCTAGTGTATAACAATGTCATATTGTACAACCCGGTGTAAAACAATGTCATACTGTACAGCCTGGTGTATAACAATGTCATATTGTACCTGTTGTATAGCAATGTCATACTGTACAGCCTGGTGTATAACAATGTCATACTGTACAGCCTGGTGTATAACAATGTCATATTGTACAACCTGGTGTATAGCAATGTCAAACTGTACAGCCTGGTGTATAACAATGTCATATTGTACAACCTAGTGTATAACCATGTCATATTGTACAACCTGGTGTATAACAATGTCATATTGTACAACCTGGTGTATAGCAATGTCATACTGTACAGCCTGGTGTATAACAATGTCATTTTGTACAGCCTGGTGTATGACAATGTCATATTGTACAACCTGGTGTATGACAATGTCATATTGTACAACCTGGTGTATAACAATGTCATATTGTACAACCTGGTGTATGACAATGTCATATTGTACAACCTGGTAAATAACAATGTCATATTGTACAACCTGGTGTACAACAATGTCATATCATACAATCTAGTGTATAACAATGTCATTTTGTACAACCTGGTGTATAACAATGTCATATTGTATAACTTGGTGTGTAATCATGTCATATTGTACAACCTGGTGTATAACCATGTCATATTGTACAACCTGGTGTATAGCAATGTCATACTGTACAGCCTGGTGTATAACAATGTCATTTTGTACAGCCTGGTGTATAACAATGTCATATTGTACAACCTGGTGTATAACAATGTCATATCATACAATCTAGTGTATAACAATGTCATACTGTACAACCTGGTGTATAACAATGTCATATTGTACAACCTGGTGTATAACAATGTCATATCATACAACCTGGTGTATAACAATGTCATATTGTACAACCTGGTGTATAGCAATGTCATATTGTACTATGTAATACTGTTCCTTGCATTATTCAAAAATGCCAGTAAACTGTCCAGTTGACCCTATTTGACACCAAGAATATGTTCAGTAACTGTCCAGTTGACCCTATTTGACACCAAAAACATGTTCAGTAACTGTCCAGTTTTCCCTATTTTACACCTAGAATATGCTTAGTAAACGTCCAGTTTTCCCTATTATACACCAAGAATATGTTCAGTAAACGTCCAGTTTTCCCTATTATACACCAAGAAGATATTCAGTATCTGTCTAGTTTTCCCTATTTTACACCAAGAATATGTTCAGTAACTGTCCAGTTTTCCCTATTTTACACCTAGAATATGCTTAGTAAATGTCCAGTTTTCCCTATTATACACCATGAAGATATTCAGTAACCAAACCATCAACTCCTCTATTTTCAATACTATGGATACGTTTACCTCATGAACATCACATTTTCCACATAACATCAACAATATGTTTTGCAAGTACAATATTAAATCTTGTTCAATACCAAGGATTGGTCAACCATGTAAAACATCAAACCTCCACCATAGCATCAAGACAGGTTCACATAAACATAAAATGTGAAATCATCTCTATTCAATACCAAAGATGTGTGTACAACGAAAGACATGTTCTCCTTAACACCAAGAATTTGCTTTGAAAGAAAACATCAAATCTTCTCTATTCAATACCAAGATAGGTTAACATCATGAAATATGAAATCTTATCTCAACATCAGGAATATGTTCAGCAAAAAAATATAAAATCTTATCTATTCAATACTGAGAATATGTTCCGTAAATAACTATCAACACCTCTATTGCCAACATCAAGAATATGTTTTTCAAGTAAAACATCAAATCTTCAGGAGTATGTAAAACATAAGACCTTCTCAATTTACACCAAGAAAGTGTTTGGAAGGGAAAATGTAAGATCTTGTCAATTCAACACCAAGAATATGTTTAACAAGAAAAACATAAAATCTTCTAAATCCTACACCAAGTAAATGCTCAGCAAGAAAAACATAAAATCATCTCAATTCTACACCAAGAATGTTTCACAAGTTTAACTTCAATCCTTCACTACCCATCATCACTACTAGTGCTGTGCAATATAACCGGTATTTACCGTTTCAGACATGACAACGATACGCACTGTGATACACTGATCGAAAACCGATATTTTGACATGCATTCGGAAAACTTCGTAACACTCTGAAATCCTCGGATATTTCCGTTTTTTAAGTTGTTCCTTTCCTTTTTTTATTTGTTCCAAATATTATTTACATTTGTATATTGTCATGATTAAAAGTTTTTATCAAATCTTAATCAAGTATAGTTATTTTGTTGTGTTTTTGCTTTATAAATCAAGCATTAACTCGATTCTAAGTGGCTTTTTGTTGAAAAAAACTTCTTGCAATATATTACAATACATATCGCAATATATGATTTCGCATCGCAATATATCGCAATATGAAAATTCTCTGCAATAACCACCCCTAATCAGTACATTCCTATGAATTATAATGCTGTCGAACCATTTCTATTTCACATCACCAGGTAAGCCGAGTAAAGCAGGTAAATCTATTAAGATCTCCACACAAACACACCTTCACATAGTAAGATTCCCACATGTTTCTAACAATTTGTTCTGCTAGAAGACCACTCGGATGAATGGCACAATCCTGTCTGAAAGTGATCCAAGTCACTGACAGTTCCTAGCATGACTGGAATTCTCGGTTGTCGCGACAGAATTGAGAGGTATCAGGGAATTCAAAGAGCACTGGAACTGCCTGGAAGGGGCGTCTCTGTACAATGGCTTGGTGCCAGGCATGGTCTTCTCCCAAGGACTCGGTGCCAAATTGGTGAACACGCTCTGTGGAAGGGAAAACAGGCGAAATTAAATATTTGAAGTAACCTTGAGTTTCTGGCATGCTAATGGTATGGCAAAAATGTTCATTCTTAGAGTAGAGTGAGTGAGTGAGTTGGGTTTTACACCGTTTTTAGCAATATTCCAGCAATATCATGGCAGGGGACACCAGAAATGGGCATCACACATTGTGCCCATGTGGGGAATCTAACCCGGGCCTTTGGCGTGACGAACAAACGTTTTAACCACTAGGCTACCTCACCGCCCTCTTGCAGTAGAAATAAGCTGTTTGTTTTGAACTCAGAAAACTGTTTGTGTATGTATTAGAATTAAATGGTTTCATGGGAGCAAAGGATGTATATATGGATGTGTATGGATGTCCCCAGTCTAAACATTGGTTCAAACCCAACCAGACTTGTCACCAGCCTGAACCTTGGTTTAAACCCAACTAGACTTGTCCCCCCAGTCTGAACCCTTGTGTAAACCAAACCAAACTTGTCCGCTCTGTCTGAACCCTTGTGTAAACCAAACCAGACTTGTCAGCTCTGTCTGAACCCTTGTGTAAACCCAACCAGACTTGTCGGCTCTGTCTGAACCCTTGTGTAAACCCAACCAGACTTGTCCTCTCTGTCTGAACCCTTGTGTAAACCCAGCCAGACTTGTCCGCTCTGTCTGAACCCTTGTGTAAACCCAACCAGACTTGTCTGCCATGTCACTTGTCTGACAGAGAGTGATGTCATCCCTTGTCACACAACACTCTGACACAGCAACCTCTTACTAACACAATCAATTTTAAAAATAAACTAGACAACATGACTAACTCTCCACGCCCTTTCTGCCTCTAGGAGAGAACACTTCATAGTGTATGTACCTGTGGTCAATGATCTGAACATAATACACATATCATCAATACCAAAATACCATTACTGATACCATTAATACCATTATTACGCGGCAAATATTACAGATACCATTAATACCCAGCAAATATTACAGATACCATAAATACTATTAAAGGTACCATTAATACCCAACAAACACTATAGATACCATAAATACTATTAAAGGTACCATTAATACCCAACAAACACTATAGATACCATAAATACTATTAAAGGTACCATTAATACCCAACAAACACTACAGATACCATTAATACTATTAAAGGTATCATTAATACCCAACAAACACTATAGATACCATAAATACTATTAAAGGTACCATTAATACCAGAAAATATTAGACACCATTTATACAAATACCATTAATACTATTAAAGGTATCATTAATATTCTCAATATATTAGACACCATTTATACAAATAATTGATTTAAAATGTTCTCAGAAACCTTGAGTGAAAATAATTGTTTAAAAAATGTTACAGAAACCTTTAAACATAGAAAATATTACAAGTATCGTTAATACTTAGGAAATGATACAGAAGCACCTGTGTTGGAAACTTTTCTAACGAGCAAATATCACAGGTATAAGTTATGTCTAGCAATTATTACATAGGGATCATTTATATCCATTAATTTTTACCGGTATCATTTTTTAATCTAGCAATAATTACAGCAATCAGTTGTGTTTATCATTACATTGGTATCATTTGTATCAAGCAAATATTACAGGTATCAGTTATGTCCATCAAATACTACAGGCATCACCTGTAACCAGCAGATATTACAGGTGTTATCTGTAACAAGCAATTATAGGTATGTGTACTGCAGATGTCCTGGACAGGCGATATTAATAACATTTCAAGTTTCTAATATTGTTTCATTACATCTTGGAAATATTAAAGGTTTCATTTACATCTTGGAAGTATTAAAGGTTTCATTTACAACTAGCAACTATTAAATGTTTCACTGAAATTATGCAAATTTTGAACGTTTTATTTTCATCCTGGAAACACTAGGGTTTCATTTAGGTCTAGGAATTATCAAAGGTTTCATTTATATCTAGGAAATATTAAAGGTTTCATTACATCTAGGAAATATTAAGGGTTTCATTTATACCAGCAAATATTACAGGTACCATATTCACCAAGGTATCATTAACAGGTATCATTTATGTCTAGGAGATATTACAGGTGCAGTACCTTACAATACAACCTTGCAGTCATGGCAGAACCATGGTCAGTCTGTTGAATAGTAGAGATGTCCTAAGAATTATGTCTAGATTGATCATTCTTCGCCCTCATTATACCCAACATATACACATAATGGATCCCTTCCACACCAAGATGTATAGAGTGCGTACAATATTGGACGATATCTACTCTTAGATAAACTGTGTATATACAATACTGGATCATTTCTAAGGAAGAGTTTCAAGGATGTCAGCTTCTACTTCTAGAATTTGACACCATCAAACTCTCTTCCTTGTGTGTCTCACTACCAAATGCCATTCAAAGACCTGGATCATTTCTACCTCCAGATACAGAGAGTATGACTGACTGAGACTGACTGAGACTGACTGAGTTTTGGTTTTACGCCGCTTTTAGCAATATTCCAGCAACATCACGGCGGGGGACACCAGAAATGGGCTTCACACATTGTACCCATGTGGGGATTCGAACCCGGGTCTTCGGCGTGACGAGCCAACGCTTTAACCATTAGGCTACCCCACCGCCCCCAGAGAGTATGAACATATCGTAGGAGTTCAGTTATACGGTAACTACTAACACCATCCACTACAAGTTGTCAACGACGTTGGTGCTGACAAGAAGTATACTAGAACAAAACTGACAAGTATTTTACTAAAACCATAAACGGCTGGAAATCTCTACTTGCATTGTGAATTACTTCTCATCTACTTACATCACAAGTGGTGGTTTGTTGTTCAACACTGCAGTATTCCAGCCGTATGGCGGTCCCAACAAATGACTAGTCACCCAATAATTTCATAAATGAGAAGTTGTCTACTGACACTATCAATGACTACTCTTCTACTAAGACTATAAAAGCTGAGTCAGCTATTCATACAATATATGACTAGTTCCTGTATTCACTAACATCATAAATGACAAGATGGCTACACCACCATAAATGGCTAGTTACCTACGAACACAAGTGACTAGTAACTTACGTACATCATAAATGACAAGTAACTTACGCACACCATAAATGACCAGTACTTTACGTACACCATAAATGGCTAGTTACCTACGAACACAAGTGACTAGTAACTTATGTACATCATAAATGACAAGTAACTTACGCACACCATAAATGACCACTAACTTACTAACACTATAAATAACTAGTAACTTACGTTCAATATACATAATTTGTAACTTACGTAAAAGATAACTGACTAGTAACCTATCAACACCTAAAGTGACAAGTAACTTACGAACTATATATTTGATTCATAACTTACGAATATAATTAATGACAAGTGAGTTATTACCACCATAAATGACTAGTAACTTACGTACAATATACAGAAATCGTAACTTGCGTACAAGATAAATGACTAGTAACCTACTAACACCATAAGTGACAAGAAACCTACTTACACCATATATGATTAGTTGTCCCCGAACATCATTAACAACCATCTTCTGCTGCAGTTGTCTCATCTTACCGTAACTTATCAATCAAGTGCCAGCCTGTTTTTTTCACCTGTACTATACCCCAAAAGACTACATAACATCATTAATGTGTCAGAAATGAAGTTTGCAATGAAACAGCCAGAATTCTGAACATTCATGTTTAAGAGTGCAGATTTTACAACCCCAGTTTTGGAACCTGAAGTGAAATATAAGTGTAGCACTCACTAACTCTCCAGAAGCCAGAAGGAAAAGTGACCCCAGTCTCTCTCAAAAGTGTTTCATAATTCTTAATAATCTTACGATATTGTTGTCATGAAACAACATTATTAAATTCGGACACTTGATGCCTTGACATCGATGACTTTTCTTGCTCTCTCGCTGCAATCTAGTTATGTTCTTTCCCATGGGAAAGAGACAACACTCTGAGGAAATTGTTTGGTCACAAACTTTTCAAAGTAACAGAATTGGAAATTACAATGCCCCAATCATGCACCAACTTTACTAAGTAAGAAATCCAGGTGTGTCGAAATGATGATCTTGAGAAAAACGTTGAGTTTGAAATCTCATGTGCGCACAATCCACAGTCTTTTCGTTAACGATTATCGCATGTATTGGTGACAAATTAAAGATCTGTGTAACTGTCAAGTTACATATTGAGAAACTGAAGATTCCCAAAATTTCAAAATGCCGTCATTGTGAGTGCCTAATCTGACTAAATTATGCAAGAAAGTTTTTAAAATCATTCTACACGCTAATAAAGATGAGCGAAATGCGCGACGTAGGTAAAAAGGAGAAAGTATATGTCTATATACCGTTGACGGGTGTCCATTTAAAGAATATATAAATTATTTTAAAATTTGTAGGATCTATTTCAAAATGTGTTGATGGGGAGTACAGGGAAGGAAGGCGCAATTTATAAACGAACCAAATATTTTAGCAAAATATATCACGGGCGCATGCGCAAATGTACACTTTTGCAAATTTGGCGTCAAGACATGCGCATCTCCGAGGCGCATTCAGACCCGTCTGATCAGCTCAAGTTCACGTGTCATTACAGCGAGGGTGCCATCTTGAAAGCGACATTCGTATATATGAAAACACCCTATGTCAGTCTGTCCTAGACAGTAGCGTCGACAAATAATGTCATAATTATTCTTGATCCCATATACATCTTGATAATAAAGTCTCTTTGATAAAAAGTGTCTCGTGTGCATGGAGCGCTGACACACCTCGAGATCCTAATAGCCCTGTACCCTTACATCACTGCATAGAAATGAGTGTAATTGTGGATCCTATGCAAGGTAAATGTGAGCTATCTAGCCCCGCGCCACAATAACCCTAAAATATGAGACACCTAGTGCACAGCGGTGACATGCAGACATGCACAGATAATGCAGACGCTACAACCCAACGCTTTTTCTTCAAAAAACAGAATTCACATTCAGCCTCCAACCGCCAAGGTAGAGGACAGACATCGAGAGGGAAGTAACATAAATTATCGCCTGTGAAAATTCGAGTGAAAAATTGAGAAAAATATTCTCAAATCAGGATAATATGGTAACTGTATGCATTAAAATTTAGGCGGGGCGCGTCATATCATTTAGAAGCACCGAGAAATTTGAATAACTAACGAAGACAACATACCTACTCCCCAGACAGAGTGATCTGCATCGTCTGTCTTGACTAGAAGTCCACGTGACGGCCATCCTAGATGAACCACTACCTGCAGATGACTTCAACTGTCTCCATCTCAATTCCAGACTAAGAAACACATGTCTTCCATAGATGTAAAAACCATAACGAACTCTCTCTGCATAATAGCTCCATGCTCATAAACAGGCAGCCCCGGTCACACTAAAGACCTAACGTTCTTCTGCACCAGAATTTGGCGGTTTAGAAATGCAATGGGCATATACAGCTAGGTCGTCTGCGCATGCGCCCGCCTAGCGTCTGTGCAGTCTCACAAGATGTACACTAGGTATGTGTCCCCTGTCCTATCACAGTGCACACACCCACAATGTCAAAAAGTGCAGAAAATCCACCCCGCGAGGTCGCCTCTTCCCAAGCGAGGCGCATCCGATGCAAGTACTTCACCATGCCGACACACCTACGAGGACGCCATTACAAGCAAGACTCGATGTCAGGTAGTTATTCATACCACAACTCACATGGCCACATTTAAAAATCCACAAACCATTATGAATAATTCAAAATCCAAACAAAAAGGAAACAGATAGAACTCCAAATGAATATTTTCGCACTGCGCCATCAAGAAAAGGGTAACAGCCAGACACAAGACATGCAGAAGACTCTACATACAGCCTCCCTCCTCGATAGACCAACAATCCGCCATACTGTCTGAAACCACGCTTGCTCACCCTATGTCAAGCCTGCACACTGAACACGTCACTCAACTGAAAAATTTCATTCAATTTTATGTGTGAAAACTTTGAATAGGAGACTTAGAACCAATCTACAGCAGCATGTCTGAAGCGAGACACAGGTTTTGCCAGCAAGGGGACGCGATTCAGGCGGGAAGTGCTACGACATGGTGTATCTGACGCAGATAGGCAAGGTTCAAGTTTGAGCAAGGAGAAAAAAAGGGCTGCGAATAATGTCTGACCTCTCAGATCACAGGCAGACGGCATGCCGAAATCACAGAGGTGTCTGTCTGGCCGATATTAAAAAGAGGCAAAGGAACGACACCCCCTGCGCAGTTTAAATATCTGGCGCATGAGTATGTCATAGAGTAAATGCATTTGCAGATAAATGCTGAGTAGCAAGCTACATCACAGACGACCTGACCCATGCCTGGTGCATGCACTAACCCGGCTTAATCACCCCAACGCTTGTTGGTATACTTACCTTGAATAGAGCGCACAAAATCACTCGAGACGTTTCAAAAGTCTCAAAAAGCGCTGAGAGAAGGAGTAGTGAGGTCAGTCCAACATGTTGTGCTAGTCCTGGCTGTGGGGCCACTTTGCATAAGTCTAGCCACGGGCTTGCTTCGCTCATCATCCCTTCCCGCCATTTCTAAAGATCCAACAACGTGCAGACGATCACTTTTTGCGTGGTAAGTCCACGAGTGACACAACATCCAGACTGAAATACCTCCATGTCCTGGAAAGATCTCGTCTCTCTGATGGCGGAGTCTGCCATTGAGTGAGTCGCATGGCTGGCAGAAGAGGTCAGCCCAATAGGAAGTAACCAGTAGCATAGCGTCTATTCTCCTAACACGTGACTTCTTTCACCCACTATGGACTTCTCCCTTCAATCTGGCCCCAGCCTAGCCCGAGCCAAATCTGGACGAGACGCGTTTATATTCTCATCCCCAACACAAAAATGCCTATAAGTCCTCGACTGACTGCCGAGGGAGGTCAGACAGCAAGGCATTATCTAACCCGAGACAACGACAGTGGGAAATACCCCATACTCACAGTCGCAGGCCTGTCACCGTCAGGGGGAGTATCTTGCCTCATGTAAAATGTAAGAATCCACAAAATATGTTTAGTCGTTATCTGACAAAGAGTGGCTGGCTCGCCTGCCGAGGCCCTAGTAACCTTGACTGCACCATGTCACAGTACTGAACTGTCTGACTGTTCTAAACTCACTCCGCCAGCCTACCAGCCGAGCAAGCCAGCCAGCCAGCCAGCCAGCCAGCCAGGCAGGCAGAGATTCAAGCCGGCCACAGTGTTAGTGAGCTTCTTCCAATTTACACCAGGTACATTCTCAGTCCCCACCACAGATCTCGATCATCGGAGTACCAGGGATGTGTGTGTTTTGTGTGCCCAACACTGTCACGGTAACATGTGGGAGCCAGAGGCGAGGATGGGAGACAAGGAGGAAGGAAAAGACATGTCTTCTCTGAAATTCATTGATCTGCCTCAGTCTGTTTCTTGACGTAGCTACTACAAGAAGAGGAGGATAGTGTGTGAGGGGACACAAGAGAGAAAAGCCTGCCCGTTACTATATAGAACATGACCTTAATCTAGGTCACTCTTCCCATGTTAGCCAGTGTGAGCATTGCGTAGCTACCCTATGACACTGTGGTATCAGCGAGCTGACTGAACAGCCATGCTGGCTAAGCCAGTTCGCCAGAACAAGAGAGGTGGGCGCCCTACCGACACACTGCTGCAGCTGCTTCAGACCAAGTGGTGAGATCTTAGGACTGAGAGAAGGATCTCTCCGACTCCGCACAGGTGTTTAATATGGAATTGTTACTGGTAGGATTTGAATCTCTGGACCTGTTTAAAGAAATTGGTGTCAAAAAATATTCCAGTCTCAATTTGGAAATAACAAGGACCGGCCGGCCGCCAACCTGCTTGATATAGCAGAAATAGGACGACTCGACTCAACATTGTACAACCCTGATTGGCAGTTGCTATGGAGATAGTCAATCCCACTGGTTGACCTCCGACCTCTACGCTATAATACACCAGTGCTTGTGTGATGTCTGAGTCACAGTAGAATTACCTGAAAGGTTTAAAGGTAATCTTGGATTCAATCCAGCGTACGAGGTGGCACATAGGAACATCCTTACTATTCTGGTGGCACATGGGAACATCCATACTGTCCTGGTGGCACATGGCAACATCCAAACTATCCTGGTGGCACATGGGAACATCCTTGTCATATTCCCCTTTACTGTCCTAGCAGCAGTAAGTGTTGCTCGTTTCTAATGCAAGGACAGGTGAAACCGATTAGCAAACAAATTTTAAAAAATTCAGATCTAAAACTTACTTTTGTGTTTTTTTTCTATTTCACCCTGACATTAATGGCTGGTTTAAATATTAGTTACTTTCACTGAATTTTAAAATAAGACTTAAGACTTACTTCTGATATATTCAGATGATAATATTTATGGCTGGTTTCAATAACATTAAAATTTGATGAGTAAATTCATTTTAAAAAATTCAGATTTTAAGACTTATTTCAGGTATATTCAGTCCATAGTATTAATGGCAGATTTCAGTATGAGATACTTTGTCTGAATTTCACAATATTCAGATATATGATTTACTTCTGACATATTCAGATCATAATATTTAAGGTTGTTTCTTTTGACAGATTTCACCGCAATGAAAACATTTAGATTTTAGACTTCTGATATATTCAGATCATAGTATTAATTGCTGGGTTCAATATGAGTCACTTTCACTGAATCTGAATACGTGTACATTCAGATTGAACATTTACTTCTGACATATTCAGATCAGAAGTATTAATGGCTGGTTCTAATCAGTTTCTTTTACTTAATTCACAAACATACAAATCTGTGAACTTATGTCATATTTATTTAGATTATCAGAAAATTTCAATACCTGTGTCAAATAGCTTCTTTCACTTGATTTAAAAACATTCTGCTTCAAGAAGTTACTTCGGATAGACATTACATATATTCAATATTCATGCAAGATCACAATTTCATGAAAATCATTCAGTGATTTTACTGTCAGTCAAAACACAATTTCTTGTCAAATGTCATATCCACTGTTGAAATTCCCATTTCATTATTAAATTTTAATTTAATGAATTCTGTTAATTTCAAATCTAAAACAAAGTGTCCCATCACTTATCTTTCACAGGTGGGAGATTTTAATGCTTAGCTTGTGCTATGCAACACATTAACCTATCTCCATGAACAGAAAAAAGACTAATTAATCTAAAAAAATATTAAAATACAAAAACACACACCCAAAAACAGATTTATATTAATTCTTTGTTCTAGGAACTAACAAACCATACACCTTTGATGTTAATAAGGTTCAATTCATCGAATGATTTTTCAACAAATGAGGGAAATATTCCCGAATTTTCTATTTTTCATCATACCAGATCAAACAATATATAATCAAAAGAACTGACACAAAGTTGTTTTTCGAACTGATTCAAGGCAACATATATAGAAGTTCATACTGATGAACCGTTCAATATCCTTTCTGAAACGATAACTTTGCTAGTATGTCATTTTAAAATATATATCCATCTTTTTCTCAACACATAGTGATGTTGATATAATTATTTATAAAACTATTGCTATTATTTGACAGTAACACAGACCGATAAATTGTTTTCCGGAAAGGTCAGTATTCTTAAGGTAATATTAACTTATTTAATTTCTGTTATCTACCAGTTTTCTGTCTTGATATTAAAAATGCACCAGTTAAGACAGAAGATCACAAATAAATATTTAAATAACACCAACACTATCCTTACATCAACGCTTTCTACAATTCACAAATGGTGAATCCAATAGTTCATTTTAACTGAATGTTTCAACAATTAATGAATTATTAACCGATAAAACTTGGTGCTAAAGTCTGAACTCACCATTTCAATACAGAACAATAAGTGCTTTAGAAAAGAAAAAACATCAAATTTGTAATTGATAAATAAGACAAACCAAACTCATTAAAAAACCCTCATTAAATTCCAAACTGTTACATATGCCAATAAAAATTAATTTATAATTAAAGCTTCAATTGTTGATACATATATTAATGATAAATCTTCCAAAATACATCATGGATTGTATAGAATCTCTTGAAAAGAAAAATCCTTATAAGCAAACTAATTAAAAATGTTCAGTGGTAAAGTTGAACTCGGCAATGTTCACTTGAAAACCCAAACTCATTAAAATCGTTCAGCAGTAGTTTGTAATAGTGCCGTTAATCTCCAAAGAACAGTAGTGGTATGTAAGCAGTTTGTGAGTAAAGCCTGGTGGAGGTATTCCACGGCAGTCTGTCTGGCAACCCACAAGGAAACTGTCTGGCTGAGTCCACTAGAGCCTCGACCCCCCCTCTCTCTCTTCCATCCCCCCGAATAACTTGTGCACTACATTAAGCCCAGGCCCATATTGTGGCGTGAGCCTAGCCCAGCCAATCAGAACGCTTGCACCAACATTAATGTATAGGGCCAGGATGAAATATTAGCGAAACCAGTTTCTGCACAAGAAACTGGGGTACATTTTGTCTGTGAAGAAACGACTAACTGGAAAGGGTAGTAGGTGCAATGGCCTTGGTGTGTCTAAACTGTGGCTCAACTTGGACAACTTTGACCCAAACTCTGGACCTACTTCTATTTGTCTGTCACTTTCTAACTGCATTCTATCTATTTATAACATTTATAATTTATTACGATATATTTAATAGGAATATAGTTAATTTTGCTATGAAAACTTTACTTTATGATTCTGGTGCAATAGCAGATTTTTATATACCTATTTCTAACTATTATAATTTATTAAGATATATATAAGGATATTGTTAATTTTACTGTGAAAATTTAATTTAGATTTTGGTGCAATAGAACTGAATGTTTCATAACGATGTACACTTATTAGATTTATGAATTTATGTTTAATACTGAATAGGAAATTATAGTGAAAAATTTACTTTAATTTTTGTCCTGTTGCTAGGTATATTATTTATCTATTCATAAACTCTACAGTTAAGAATGATTTATATGTATCTTTAAAGCACATATTGGTTATAAAGTGAAATTTTCTTTCTGATAATATGTTATAGCTTAAAGAGATTATTTTAAACTTATAATCTA